TACCCACTGGTCTGCTTGTTACTAAAAAAGTTGTCTATACCAGCAGTCTCTAATCTCTTTTCATTCTCTTTCATCTTGAAATTCCTGTTATGGAAATTTTTAAGCACACATAAAAGTAGAGGAAACAGAATAGTAAGTCCCTACGTAAGCCCCTATGTATCTGTCACTCACCTTCAACACAGTAACATTCTGCTCCTTTTATCCATTTCCTGCCCCCTGCCTATTTTTTTCCTTGTAATATTTCCAGGTAAATCCTAGTCATAATTTCAACCATAAGCATATTCGTGTGTCTTGAACAGATAAGGGCTTTAAAAAAACAACAAATTGTAGTCACTATACCATTATTGCACCCCCAAAATAATTTGTAAGTAACATCTGATATCCAACCTGTCTTAAATTTTTTTCTAATTGTCTCAAAAAATGTCTAAGTTGGTTTTGTTCAAATCAGGATTCCAAACAAGTCCTTTAAGTTTCATCGATCTTTTAAGTTCCACCATCACCTCCTTTATTTTACACCTTCAATTTATTGAAGAAACTGAATTATTTGTCCAGTGGAATTTCTCACATTATGGATTTAGTTTGTTAATAGGTTCCTCAATATACCACATTTTTTACAAATTGATCAGTAGATGTACAGGCTTGATTTGATTCAGTTTCAATTTGGGGCAGTAAGTCATCATGGCTTGGTGTTGCATTCTTGCTACTGCAACACACTGGAGGGCATGTACGTTTGATTCTCCTTTTTAAGTAACACTAAGACTGATGTTAACAGCCTGAGCCCTCCAGTAAGACATTTCCCTAATAACATTCAACCTTTTACCTAATACTTTCAAGCAGCCTAGAACCATTATTTCTCTAGAAATGACAAATAGTGATTTCTTAATCTTTCCATTTTTTGGCATTTACTTATGGTTCTTAAGTGAACAGCTTTCTTATCAGGTCAATCTGGCATATAAGGAAGTCAGGGTAAGAACTTCATTTTTTTCAATCAGCAATCTTCAAATAAGGTGTTAGTGCCCCAGTAATTTCCAAAGGCAACATTACACACACACACACATCATATTCTTTTAACTGTCATTATGACCTCATGGATTTTTATAATATGTTTCAATGCACTGTTATTTTTGATGCTCAAATTGTTCCATTTTTGGCAAACGAGTGCCTCTTCAAGTTGGGTCCTGGGTCTTTTTGACATACCCTGCATCCTTGCTTCAGATATAAGACAGCCCAGCTTCATCTTGTCCTTTCCCTGTCACTGTCAGTGGGACAGTCTGGGTGCAAGGGTGGGCCTCACTACTGGGCTGTGATTAGCTCTAGGTTTTTTCAGTGAACAAAGCTATACAATATGTGTTTTTAAGAGAAAAATAAACCACAGTATTTTGTTTGTATTGCCAACTGAAATATACAATTACAGGGCTTTAAACTTGATTTTATTCTTGTATCTCTTTTCTCTCATGCTGAAAATCTTGACATTATTGTCATATTGACATAATAAATATTTGCTCCATCATGTAAAAATACATACAATTGCAAAATGAAACCAGTATCATTACTAAAAATAAAAATACTGAATGCAGTTTAAGGTTTCTTTGTGATTCTTCCATCTGTAGGATGGATGCCATTAGGAAAGTGCAGACAAATGCTGGGCTCCAATGTCACCTTAAGTAATTCTTCTATGTGTGGTTATACCTCCAACCTGGTAGACAGGTAAGTTTGTTTTAGTTTTAAGAGTTTTTTAATTATAGAAAACACTGACAGGGTCCCAGAGTAAAAAATTATAAAGGAATATACAGATCTTGTTGCCATCCCTGTCCAGCTCCCCACCGCCACTGCCAAGGGAATTGATTTTAGTTATTAGTGTAACTAATCCTTCCATTGCATTTAAAAAAAAAGCAAACGCATCTTTGTTTTTTCCTTTTGTCTCCTTTCTTACACAATAGGTAGCACACCATACAGTCTGTTTTTCACTTCCTCTACCCTGGAGATAACTCCAGAATTGTATAAATAGTCCTCCTGTCTTTTCACAGCTGTGCTGTATTCCATCATATGGACATACCATAACTTCTGTCAATCCCTTCTCAATGGAGATTTGGGTGGCTTCTAATCTTTAGCTGTTACAAATAGTGCTACACTGAAGATCTTTGTGCATATATCATTTCATATTTTGCCAGTGCATCTCAGATAGAACCTTAGAAGTGAGACTGTCTGGTTGAAGGATAAACTCTTAATTTTGCTAGTTATTAACAAATTGTCCAACCTTAAAATTTTTCACTTTTCAGAGTGCCTGTTTCTTCAGTCTCACCAACAAGAGTGCATTGTGTGACTCAGAGCCATTTGCATTTTGTTTTCTATGAACTGGCTGTTCATATCCTGCGGCCCATTCTTTCAGGTTCTTCTCAAAATTTAGAAATTCTTCATATTTTGGGGCTATAGTTGCCTTTTGTGATAAATGTTGCAAATATTTTTGCCAGTTTATTTTTATTTTTTTATTTGTTATGGCCATCCAAAATTCTTATTTTCAGTTTAAGACATAAACTTATCCTTTTATTACTTCTGGATTTTCACTCATAAGAAAAGTTCTTCCTATTCTCAGATTTTAAAGGAATTCACCTATCTTTTCTTTCAGTTATTTAAAAGGTTTCACTTTTACAATTGGGTCTCTGATCCATTTGGATTTTATCTATGTCTGTGTACAGTGTGAAAAATTGATTCAATTTCATTTTCTTCCATATAGTTAACCATATTTTCTCAACACAGTTTTTAAGGTCTTTTCCTCCATTAATAAGATGATTCCTTCACTGTATACTAAATTCCTGGACTATCTCTCATACTGTTTGTAGTATGTTATAATATCTAATAGGATTATCCCTCCTTGCCCACCACTCTTTTCTAGGGTTCTTCTAGCTATTATTGTTTCTTCTTTCCAATACCATTATATAGGAAAATGCTTCTTATTTTATTGGGATCTAGTATATGCCCTTCAGATATAAAAAAATACATATATAAATAAAGACATTTCAAAAGTTTTTCTAAATAATATTCTGAAAATAACTCCAGGCAAACTTTTTTTTTTAAACTTGTTTTAGAAGAAAACAGAAATCGTACTCAGGGATGGGTGGACACAGGTAAAGACACATCTGGAGGCCACAGCACTGCAGAGCAGCCGTCCCTCAGAATGCCAAGTGCTCCTGAACACTCACTGGGCCCATGGTCCTACGGTAACCAGTAGAGGCAGGCTAGGCCATGCTAAAAGGAAGTATACAGCAGCTGCCTTGTGGTGACTATTACAGTAAAATTTATTCTGTAAAATAAAGTTAAATCACATAGTGTATAATTTAGCAAAGATCAAATACTGTAAGATAATTTTTTTAAAGAAAACACTGAACACCCACTGTATTTTCAGAAATTTGAGGATTGTGACCTTTTCTGCTAGGTAATTCCATTTTCACAGAATTACATATACTACAGGCCAAGGTAAAATTTATCTTTTAAAAAGAAATATGATGGTATTTTTCAAATGAAGCAAAGTCAGTGGTAGGAAAATAAGCTCCACTTGACATTGGGATACATCTTTTTCCTAAATCACTTGGCATATCTATGGCCAGAAACCCCATTTCCTAAGTGAACCTAGCTACTTCTCTCCAAGGGATGAGACCAAGTTTCCTGCACAGAAACCCTCCTGCACAATGCAAACGGTCATTCATCCAGCAAAGAATAATTAAGAAAGACGAGGCTGTGTCAAACAGAAGTACAAAAATATTAACAAATCATCTGTGATGCATAAGTTTGAATGCGGACACCCAAGACACTAACTCAGAAGTAAAGGCCGCTTCTGTCCCTGAGGCAGAGAAACCTGATGACAGGTCTTGACTTTCATGTCGCCTTTTGCGCTGACCTAGTTGATCTGACAATTGAGACAAATTCTTGGGAAGCTATTTGTTGTGCTTTAGCATAATTTGCCTATTCCTTTGTAGGGAAAAAAAAGTTAAAAATAGAGCATTCAGTCTTTCTGGCAGTTAATCAATAGTGATAGAACCTTACATTTCCTAACAACTACAAATGTCCTAATAAACCATCTAAAAAAATGTAACAGTCAAAACCATTAAACCATTATCTGTTCTAAGTTCACTTTTTATTTATATAACCACCTTTCTCCTAGACAAGCAATGTTAGCAAAACAGGCAAGGATGCCTTGATAGTGACGATTCTATTCAATTTTCTTTTCAGAGGGTCTTCTCAGCAGCCAGTTACCATATGGAGCTTTTTCAGTTTCAAAAAAGGCTTCCTAGTTTTAAAACAGCAAGTGCTACACTTGATGGTAGTTACTATCAAATAGTTCAATCAACCTTACAAAATTTTTATAATATATCTTCAAGTATGTAAGTTATTTAATGAACACGAACCCTTCAGAAAAAAAAACAACAAACCCTAGTGCTAGCTCATTTCTGGTGCCCTGAGACATAGTAGCACTGCCTATTTTTATATTTTAGTGACAAAAATGTAATCTAGTTTTAGCACCCAGCTACAAGAGTTAGATGTTAATGAAGACACATGATTTGGCTTACTAGAAGGTAACAGTCATAATATCCTCTCAGTGAGGAAATCTGTTCCTTTTGCCGGCTCATAGAGAATAACAGTATTAATTGGTGGGGGGGTGGAGGGGAAGTGCAGAGTCACATCACACAGAGAGGATTCCAAGGCATGATGTTGCTGAAGATACATCAGGATGAATCACATTTCAGATACTGAATGTGGCTCTGCAGCATTCAATAGAGAACTGAGGAAAATTATTTTAGTGATTGACTCCCATCTTTTCAACCAAAATGTTGTTGCATTGCTCCATTTAAAAAATGAAGTATTCTAAACAAATGACAAATTTTTTACACAAAAACACATTGAAGTTTGATTAACTATATCAGTTATTAGACATGGCAAATATTTAAGCAAAGAAAATAAAGTGCAATTTTATAGTACATAAAATAATAGACCCAGAAATCACCTTTTAAAATTGGCAATATACACTGTAATATAAAAAGTGCTTGACGTAACAGAATTAGATAGAAATGAAGATACTTTCAGTTGAAAAATTAAAATATTTCAGTACAGTAGCAGGACAATCAACATTTTATTAGAGCTGTCAGATTCGGAGCCTCTTGTGTGTTTCTATTTTGTATAGAAGAAAGGAAAGCCTTTCTTCTAGAAGGCACTAACTGGTTTGAATGTGCTTCATAAAAAAACATGTGCAACATACAGGCAAGAAGACCATTCCTCATTCTTCACCATAGTGCACCACTACTGAGGACATTTATCAGTTAGCATGTTATCACCTTCCGTGTGCTCAGTCCACACTGTCACAGATCTCCTTTACTTTCTGGTTGAAGTCGTCTGGTTGATCTGCATATACATAATGCCCTGCCCCAAGAATGGCCTGGGAAAGGGAAAGCAGTGAGATGGTAGGGGAGTAAAAATAAAACACAATGACATAAGCAGAGGCACTTAGCAATGAAAAGGAAAACAGCTATATATAAACAAAACATAAGGAATATGCAACACTGATCTGTAGTAATAATTATATGTTTCTATCAAAGGATCTGAGAATAAAGAGAAATATCTATTGACCTTTACTAAAATTGTATATGAAAAAAACATTTTCAATGCACCACTAATGATGGGGCCAGGAGATAAACTGTACAAAATAAGAATGTGCTGCCTTTTGCAATGGGAGTTGGTACTATACCGGACCCTCTCTTTCAGCCTCTTCCACCTCAGAGATACTGTGGCTTTAGGGACAACAAGTTCCCTCAGAGAAGCAATTCTCTGTCTGGACATGAAGATTTGTATGGGTCAAACTCTGTTCCCGGCACAAGTGGTATCAGGTCTCTAATGGAGTCTGCAGTATACCTTATAGCTCAGACAGGAAAGCACAAAGATGACCTGACATCTCATCAAAGGCAAAGATAATAGGACAGGCTTCACCTACAACTGAAAACCAAAAATAAACCACACACTTACTATCGTCTTCACATATGAATGTGGTCGCAATGACTGGATGCTGGTGCCAGAACTGCCATCTATGCAGGATCGGGCACCATAGATCACTGAAACTGGAATGTCAGGCTGCATTTTACCAATTCGCTGCAGCATTGGCCTTTTTGCCCATCCATAAGGAATAGTCATATTTTTGAATGCTGTCTCACCACTTAAAGAAAGAGGAGAGAGTCACACGTATAACTTCCGGGGATGAATATGTACCTCGCCCTCCCACTGCTATCAAAACACATTCATATTTAGTTTTCTCCTTCATTTCAGAAAAAAAACTCAGCTGAAACTGAAATAGTTTACTAGCAAGTATAAAGAACAAACCCCACAGAAGACATACTTCTTTATATATCCTACAAAGGTACATACTCTTGTTAAACAAGGATGCTCTAAACTCTAGTTCATATTTAAAAAGATATCCTCTTCTAAATCAAAATATGTAACCTTCACTCCCTATTATTAAATTATTAAATTTCCTGTGGGGATAGCTGAAATGTTTTTTCACTCTTATTTCAAATGCAGAAGGCAGCTTTTCAGCATGTTCATGGTGCCAGCTTTTAACTTGCAATGGCAAAAGTGATACCAAGAGAGGAAGAAATAAAGATTATGTATATTTTATGTGTTATTTATACTTTTTATTTTCTGTGTATTATGATGTTTGACATCTTAAAAAACCTTTCGGCTGGGGAGAGACTGTGCTCCAGGAGGCACAGAGTTAAATTCATAGAGGTAACAAAGGACTGAACCAGGAACAGGCCTTTGATACGCAAACTAACCAATCAGGAGCCAAGCCACTTCTGTCTGGTCCACAAAACTCAGCAGGTTGCAGTTCTCTGCCTTCATCACCCATGGCCAGGCACGGGGAAACCAGACACCACTCCGCTGTTCAGAGCCCACTGAAATCAGGCACCTCGTGGATCCTGAACGGCTCGCCCTGCCTGCCCTGCTTTTCCCGAAGAACCCAACAAAGGTTCTGGCCTAGACGCCTGTCTTCCGTTGTCTGTAGCTACCCCTGTGACCCTTTGTGGCATTTACTGACCCTCTCTTTAGGTCCTGTGAGTAGAATAAACTGTTTCCTTGAGCCTCTTTTGTGTCTTCTCTTGGGGCCACACCTGACTGCCTCAATGCCTCAAATAAAAGAACAAAGAACTATGAAAACTCCCAGATAGGCCCATTTTGCTGTCATTTCTCCTTTCCTTGCAGTGTAATTCCAAATGCCTTTTGTAAGAAAGTCAAGTTCCACCACAAGAAAGACAACAAACTAGGACAAATGTAATCATGCAACTGAATATGTGACAAATAAAACACTAAGACTATGCAGGAAAACAGATGTGTACCTGGGATCAGCCACTAAACGATGTTGGAACACATCAATAAAGTTTGCTGACCTAATATGCCAGACCTGATCTGCAGACCTAATCTCACTAGGTCCATTGCCTAGTGAGACACAAAATATCAATCTCTGGAGGGTGTCAAACCTCTCCTGCCTCCCTCTCCTTTAACCTGCTTTAAAAAGACTGAAGCTACAGCTATACCTCACCAGCTTTCAGGCCTCAGTAAGTGTACAAATTTTCTGCCAAAAGTGAAGGATAAAAAACAAAGTGAGTGAGTTGTTTCTACAACTGGCCTCTCAGCCTTTTGCCCAAGTCTCAATCTTAAAAAGGATAAGGTACCACTTCTAGGTTTTAAAGTGGTCCATGGCCCACCTGTACTGGAACGGTCAGAGGCATCTGTTCAAGATGCAGCCCAGAACTGCTGCATCAGAGTCTAAGAGACATATTCAGGAATCAAGTTTCCACGAGCCCCCCCAAGGACTGGTACACGAAGAGGCATGAGACCCAGAGCTCGCACTCCTACTCCGCTCCTGATGCTCTCCCTGGCAACTCCATGCTCTTACTGTCAGGCCCCCTCAGCTCCCCATTATCTTCAGGTTGTTTTCTCCATTAGCACCCTGCACCCAACATCCATAAATTATATTTTTTAAAAATAAAGACACCCTTGTTTTGGCCTCTTGCAACCCCTGGCTACTCGCTCATGCGAGTGCTCTCTCTCTCTCTCTCTCTCTCTCTCTCTCTCCTAATCACTGTCAGAATACATGCAGAACCTCTCTCCCCTCCTCCCGACCCTCACTTATTCCTTTCCCACTGTGCAGTGTTTCTCAGGCTGGTCCACAGACATTAAATTGCTCCGTAAAAGGGGGGAGCAATCATTAATGGAACTAAAAAATGCTATGCAGTATCTCCCATGGACTGGGGAGATTTAATACCCTTTGGCATAGTAAAAGATTCTAAGATCCATGGTACAGAAAACCATTTACTTTTGCTTAATCCAGAACCCCTTTTTCTTTTATAAAACCATGCACACTCAGTTTGGGAATGGTGCTTTATTTGAAATTCTTCTTTATCTCTCAACTCCAGCTACCTCCTAGAGATATGTAAGATTAAGACTTCCTTAACTTATCCACAAGCATTTTAGGGGAAGGAAGAATGTCTTGTTTTTAATCTCTCCTCAGAATCCAGTACAATGTTTTACATGGTACTTACTCCATGAAAAGATGAGTAAATTAAGAAATGTTGGTCATTTGACTACTTGTCCTTTTGAGTCATTTACTTATTGATAAAAATTTACTAGACTATTCACATATTTTCAAAAAAGTCTACAACATAAACACTGTAGATTTAGAGTAATAATCCTTACCTCGGAGTCTGTACATTACAGTGGTAGATGTATTCTGTCACAGTATCATCCTCAAACATTGAAGAATACTTCCGTTTGAAGTCTGGCCTTAAACGCTGCACTAGACTTAAACCTATTTAATAGGAAAAGAATGTTTTAAATTATACATATGTTTTAATTATAATTAACTTATAGACCACTATTAGAAAGTTTTAGTGTTTGCTTCTACAATGAGTGTTATGTGCATACATATATACATTATTCAAATATATATTTTAGATGAAAAAAAGCAAATTCTGGAAGTGCTCTCCTCAAGATCCCTAAAGGAAGATCAAAGTAAGAATTAAAGAATGTCATATACTGACCCCTAAGAGTTCAAAAACCTCTAAGACTTGTTTTTGTGGGAAAATAATTCTAATAAACATGGCAGGTACACAGAGCAACTCATACATAAAATTAACTTACTAACTTGTATTTCTCCCACAATTACAATACACTGGCATTCAAATGAAGTATATTGGGATATATACAAGTGAACTATATTTGTGTGGGAAATAAATCCAGAGTTTCTGCTTGGGATACTAGCACTACTCCCTGTTACCACCACCCAGGGTGGCTCCCACAGCCCCTCCCTGAGGCAGAGCAGGGCCACAGGAGGAGGAGGAGGAGGAGCAGGAACCTTTGTCTGGTCACTGTTTTCCCTTCTGCGGCCCCAGGGACCAGCCAATTTTCCTTTCTGATATCACTGTCCTTTATCCTAACATGGTCTTAGTTCTTCACCTGCCCTCCTTCCTACTCCAGAAGGAATTATACAGCTCTGTTAAGAATTTCTGTGATGCAGTTGATACTCTCCATCCCCCTCTACCACCACCATCACCACCACGACCACCATCACCACATGCAGGCAATTATGGAGGCAGAGAGCATGGCTTGACAGGTTCCCTGCTAGGCTTCCTTCTTCCTCCATCATTGTCTCCTAATTTCTTTGCATACTTCACTTTTCCCATAATGGCCACTTGCATAACTGATCGAGCAAAATCCATTTATATTTTAGGGCTATACAGACTAAAAAAATGCTCTTAAAGAGTTCATCAAAAGGGGACCAGGCACCTAAGGAGTGACTCCACAAGGGAGGGGTGAAAAGACTGGGAACAGGGAGAAGGGCTATCTAACAAAGCACTATGGAGTAGTGTGTGGTCACCGATTCCATTCCTGTGCCCTCTTCTGACTCTTGCAGTACCTCTGCTCTCCTTACCCCAAAGGAATGGCACTGGGGTAGGAGGGGCCAGGCCTGCATGGAGGGATGCAGAATATGTCACCTACACAGCAGTTACTCCCACTCCCATGTTTCTTCATTTCTTCCTAACAGAACCTGACTTTGGTACATCCACTAGGCAGTAATGTGTGCAGGAAAACAAGCCCCTTATGCCAGCTCCTGGGAACAAATCAGGATTGATCAGTCACAGAAACTTACTCTTTTTTTGGTAAAAGAACTAGGGTAGGCAGAGACATAAGGAAGGACTATTGGGCTCTTCCAAGGAAGGCTTTCTTCTCCAACAAAGAGCATTGTGGAAAGAAGACCACTTTCCGTGCTATTCTTGCTTAGAGTGCTGCTTTGTGAGATGCTGCTTCATATCATAGCAGCCTTTAAACAACCAGGAAGAAAAGGGTCCAGAGAGTCACAGTCACAGGCCCAAACCCTTTCACCAATGAGCTAGCTATCAGAACAAATGCCAGAAGCACCTTCTTCCAGACTTCTTGTTAAGGCAGTAATAAAAGCCTTACTGTTTAAACCACTTAGGTATTCAGTTACTAGCAGCTAAAAGCATTCCTAAATGATACAAGTTACAAGAAGGAAAGAAAGAGGTCCAGATCCATCACTATTAGGGACAATGAAGGAAGGAAGTGCTCTGGATTTGGTGCTACAACAGAGCTAATAAGAGTCGAATGAACTTAAATCAGAGACTAATATTCTGGTTTTCCAAAATATGACTGGAAAGAGAAAACAGGCATCCCCAGACCTTTGTGACATTATGGGGCAAGAAAGTTATCTGAAAGTGTGATGGTACCTGTTATCCCCATGGCCGATCATATCAGCTTTGTGATCTGCAAACTGGTTATCATCAACCAGCCAAATACCTCTAGTGCTCACCGACAAGGCAACATGCTACACTTCTGCCCACGTTGTGGGCTGACTAACCTCATCCTCAGAACTTGTGCCTTCTTGGCTCTGCTAATACAGGTAATGTTTACAATATAAAAACCCTTCTTTGAGAAGAGACTGCTCTCATTCTTCCTTATGTACAGACTGGTACTTTACAGAGAAAGAGGAGAAAAGGCAAGATTTAGTTTTTTGTTGTTGTTTTTAAGATTTTGATTAACAATGGTGATCAGTAAATACTTCTCTACTGCAAATCTATAAGCACTGTGCTCTCCTAGAATACAGACACAAGCACTCACCAAAGGGCCCTGCAATCCTGAGGCCAGCTAGAGGGTTAAAGGGAGTCAGTGCTGCTCCCAAGACTCTGATCCAGACTGGAATCGGTCTTTCTTGATCAGCAAGGTCTGGTCGCTCAGGAAAACCCCAAGGCTCCACTAAAATAAGATGATTAACCCTGTTGAGGAAAGAACATATTTAAGCTCTTTTGGCGAATTCAACCAAGAACTCTAAATAATTAACACAACTTACAAAACAAAGGTAGAATAAACCACCTTCAAAAACCTTCCCATTAAAGAGAATACTAAAAGACTAATGGCTGAACAGCTTATACCAGGCTTTTACTATGTGTAAACTTCTGAGATTTAGTAGGGTTTGAGAGGTTTATCATAAAAAGAGGGCTTCATTTTATATCTAAATGTGGATAATAAAGATGTGTGAAACAACTGCATCAAAAAGAATAAAATAACTAGGAATAAACCTAACCAAGGAAGTGAAAGACCTATACCCTGAAAACTACAAGATGCCCAAGAGAGAAATTAAAGAAGATACCAATAAAAGGAAACACATCCCATGCTCATGGATAGGAAGAATTAATATTGTCAAAACGGCCATCCTGCCTAAAGCAATCAACAGATTCAATGCAATCCCTACCAAACTACTAACAGCATTCTTAAAGAACTAGAACAAATAGTTCTAAAATTCATATGGAACCACAAAAGACCCCAAATAGCCAAAGCAATCCTGAGAAGGAAGAATAAATCTGGGGGGATTATGATCCCTGACTTCAAGCTCTACTACAAAGCCACAGTAATCAAGACAATTTGGTACTGGCACAAGAACAGACCCACAGACCAATGGAACAGACTAGAGAGCCCAGATATAAACCCAAGCATATATGTTCAATTACTATGATAAAGGAGCCATGGACATATAATGGGGAAATGACAGCCTCTTCAACAGCTGGTGTTGGCAAAACTGGACATCTACATGCAGGAGAATGAAACTGAATTATTGTCTAACCCCATATACACAAAAGTAAACTCAAAATGGATCAAAGACCTGAATGTAAGTCATGAAACCATAAAACTCAGAAGAAAACACAGGCAAAAATCTCTTGAATATAAACATGAGCAACTCTTTCCTGAAAGCATCTCCTCGGGCAAGGAAAACAACAGCAAAAATGAATACATGGGACTACATCAAGCTAAAAAGCTTCTGTACGGCAAAGGACACCATCAGTAGAACAAAAAGGCATCCTACAGTATGAGAGAATATATTTGTAAATGACATATCCGACAAGGTGTTAACATCCAAATATATAAAGAACTCACATGCCTCAACATCCAAAAAGCAAACAACCTGATTAAAAAATGGGTGGAGGATATGAAGAGACAATTCTCCAAAGAAGAAATTCAGAGGGCCAACAGGCATATGAAAAGATGCTCCACATCGTTAATTATCAGGGAAATGCAAATTAAAACCACAATGAGATATCACCTCACACCAGTTAGGATGGCCAACATCCAAAAGACAAGCAACAACAAATGGTGGTGAGGATGTGAAGAAAGGGGAATCCCTACACTGCTGGAGGGAATGTAAACTAGTTCAACTATTGTGGAAAGCAATATGGAGGTTCCTCCAAAAACTAAAAATAGAAATACCATTTGACCCAGGAATTCCACTCCTAGGAATTTACCCAAAGAAAGCAAGATCTCAGATTCAAAAAGAAATATGTACCCCTATGTTTATTGCAGCACCATTTACAATAGCAAAGATACAGAAACAACCTAGGTGTCCATCAGTAAATGAATGGATAAAGAAGATGTGGTACATACACACAATGGAATACTATTCAGCCATAAGAAAGAAACAAATCCTATCATTTGCAGCAACATGGATGGAGCTAGAGGGTATTATGCTCAGTGAAATAAGTCAGGCAGAGAAAGACAAATACCAAATGATTTTCCTCATTTGTGGAGTATAACAATGAAGCAAAAGTGAAGGAACAAAATAGCAGCGGACTCACAGAACCCAAGAAGGGACAAGTGGTTATTACCAAAGGGGAGGGGTGGGAGAGGGTGGATGGGGAGGGAGGGAGAGGGGATTGAGGGGCATTATGATTAGTTCACATGGTGTTGGGGGGGGTTATGGGGTGTTGCACAGAGAAGACAAGTAGTGAATCTGTGGCATCTAACTACACTGATGGACAGTGACTGTAATGGGGTATGGTGGGGACTCGATAATATGGGTAAGTGTAGTAACCACATTGTTTTTCTTGTGAAACCTTTGTAAGAGTATATATCAATGATACCTTAATAAAAAAGGAAATTGTTAAATAAATAATTTAAAATTTTAAATAATTAGAAAAATAAAGATGTGTGAAAGTGTTTATAACTGCGTGACTACTTTTTCTATGTAATCCACCAAGTTCAGATTTCCCCACTTTACATGCACGTGTGTGTGTGTGTGTGTGTGTGTGTGTATTTAGCTCTTTGTAATTTAAATCATCTGTGCAGATTCATGTGACCACTCTACAGTCAAGGTTCACTTGAGATTGATTTTCACAGTCAAGTTTCATACTCCTTAAGTCTCCTTTTACAAAGAAAAAATCACCTTATTACTCTAACTAGACCCTGCAGCTTGGAAGTGACTTATGGGGCAGGAACCACTGTCCAGCCTCATGACAGGTGCTCCGTGGAAGTTTTGCTCTTATTTCAATTACCTGCTAGAAGTTCCTGGATGGAGCTGCTTTGAAGACACAGCTCTTCACCAACCTCCAGCTACATAACAGCTGCGCCTTGGCCTCCTGGGTGGAGAGCTGATGTGCTGGGATCCTCTTGGCCACACAGTACTCACACAGGGACCCCACTGACCAACCTCCACCTATGGGGTTTCCCCACACACACTCCCCTGCCCTCTTTGTGTGACTGTTCTTAAGAAATAGCATTTGTTGTTGGTGGTAAAGCTACACTCTGGCAGATGACACAGATCACTGACCACACAGAAAAGTCCAATAGTTCCCTGTATCTCGAGGCTGACAAATGACTGAAGATTAATATTACATTCATAAAATGCACTCAGGCACCGACGACACTTATCTCCTACAATCCATTCATTCTAAAAGTTATCATTAGGACATTAGGTGGGTTCAAAAGGACTTTAAATGAACTTTTCACACGCATAAGGATAACGTAATAATATGGGCTGAAAATATACCTGCTAGTTTGGGATTCTAGTCTGGTGAACAGGAACACATCTACCCTACCCATAACATGATATACAGGCATTAGATTCTGCTTCTAGTTCTTTTCCTAGTTTTCTTCCTTGCAAAGGAGACAGGAAATCTTCAGTACAACCTCATATAAAATTATTTCCTATCACTAACAGTTGTAATTTTTCCATCTCATGAAACCTCTTCCTGCTGAAGAAAAACACAACTCTCAGCAGTGGTCCCACGAGGCTGCGCTGCAGCATTATATATCATAAAGTTCCTAAACAAAGCATAAAGAGCCTCCTGAGACTAGAAAATACTCATCTGTAACCAGAAGAGCAAACAAGTGCCAGCAAAAATCTCCCAAAGATGAACTGACAATGATTCTGAAGTCCCTTTTCTAAGTCACTAGTGAAAGAGAAAGGTAAAGAAACATAGGCACAGAAAGCTATTATTCCTGGTATAAAAAGTTTTATTATTTTTGCCAGCACAAATAAGGATGAGTTAGTAATGAATCCTTTGCTTTGACTGCATTTTCTCAAACAGAAAGCTTCAGAGCACAGAGCACCAAGGGTCCTTAGAGAATACTCACAGATGAGAAGGAAGCTGAGATGCAGTATGTGACCTGCTCCAGGAAATAAAGCTAGAGAATGTAGAACTAGGGCTAAACCCCTATTTCCTGACTCCAGTACACTAACAGATGCCAACAGGCCATTTGGCAGTCTCTCTAAGAACAGGCCAAGCAACATAAGATAAACATGTTAGAAAAGGTTAAGCTTACCTTTTATCAATACTAGGCCTGTCAACTCTATATGCTAAATTTCATAGCACTGAAAAGATATGTAGAATGTAACTTTGTATAAGGATATAATATGTGAGGTTTCCATATACTAGAGTGCCTTCACTGCTTAAAAGTTTTGAGATATTTTCTAAGAAATGTATGAGAAGAGAGGTAGAAATGAGTTCATTTTGTTTTGTTTTTTAATGGCAGAGACTATCGCTGACATTCTGACTTCCTCCTGAATTCCTCCTATCCCAGCCGTGAGATTGGAGGGAGGTGGGGAGTGCCAGAAGAGTGCCAGGGTACGAGTAACGGAACAGTCACCTAGTTGAAAACAGCAAAGATTCACGTTTGGAAATAGCTAGTAGGATTCACTACTGACTTACCTCCTAAAGAGAAAAAATGAAGTCTTTATTAAAACATACTCTACCCTAAAAGATTATTAAATTTTTGGTACAAATTTGTTACAGGATCTTGCCCAGGTTGCTAGAGGCTCTTGCTGACCAACCAACCCAAAAGGGGCAGGACAAGGGAAAGCTTGAGGGAGAGATTCTTATCTATCTCTAGCCAAGAGACTCTAGGTTTTGCCTTAGTTTTGGCTTGCCTTGTTCAACATCTGTCTTTAAAATATCACACCCAGGTAAAAGTGTCAGTTTAACAAATTATGGCAAATATACACACTAGAGCAGATGACTTTTCTTAAGGGAGTGAAGTGCCCCAACAGTTGTTCAATCATGTCTTCAGCCTACCATGGTACTTAGCATGTGGTAGATGCTCAGTAAATGTTTGGAGTGTTATGTTGCCCCACATTTCCTTTTGGTACTTCTTTATAAGGATATACAAATCTTACAAAGTATGATAATAGAATAAGCACAAGTGTTAGTCCAGTCTGGACTATTTCTGGTCTCCTATATGACATTTGAATCTTGTAAGTCATTACTCATTAGTGGGTAGTAAAATCCATTTAGAGGGTCAGCCATCCTTATTTTTAATAAAATTGTTAATTTGGAATAGAAAACTATATGACACATTATCATTCCACACAACTTTTGTTTTGAACACACACATATATAATTCTTACTGAGGGTTATAGTCAAAAATGTTTGAAAACAATTTTTTAAAAGCTATGCAACAATGTCTAAACTGGAGTTATATATCATCTGCTTCCACTAGATGTAAAAGACCTTATAAGATAACTGTTGCTATTTTTGGATGTCAAAATTGTAAATGAAATGGATGGAGCAAAGCACTTAGGCTAGTGGCTATCAAATAATAAACATCCAGCAAATATTAGCTAATTATAGTAGCAAAAATAAGACGACTACTAGAGAAGAATTTACTACAGGGAGCATGGGAAGACAGTGGCTAGAATCACGTGAGCAGTAATTTAACTTCTATTCTTCAGGAAAGCCTGATCACAGATTATAACCTTGCACCAGACTAAGTTCCCAGGCTATCTTCTCACCTCCCTTTTTAGAGAAAACATTATTTCCTCATTTGATAGCAGTTATTTGGTTTTAATGCCTATCTAAACTATTACAGCAATCCAGACCCCATCTCTAACATTCTACAGCGGCTGGCATGATAGGACTGTTAACTCACATCTAGGATTAAGGAGTGGGTGTAGCCAGACAGCACATGTGAGCCATCCTATCAGACTTCTTTTGTCATGAATCAGAAACTGACTCAAACTAAAGGAAAAACAAAGAACCAGTAGAGCAGGAACACCCACCCCCATGAAGAATGAAACATGATGAAGCATTCTTCTCCATGATAGTCACCTGAGTAGGTCCTGAGTTTGAAGATGTTGAGGAGGGTACAGAGTAAAGAGCAAAGCAGTGGGTGACACCTGCTCCAACACATTGGAATAGCTGAGTCTCAGTGCTAACAAGGGTATATAAACCTGACTTTCACAAGTTTTAAAGTCAGCTACGTGCCAGAAATAATAGAAAATGATTAGACCCAGAACAAAAATGCACAAAGGAATCTACAAGACCTGCTTATGGAACAAAGGAGGAGCAAGGAAAAGGAACAGGAAGAACTCTAGTCAGTGCACAAATAAGGCATTCTCTAGATAAAGTTAGCCCCAGGTATTTCTCCCTGGCTCCAAGCCACTGTGGGAAAATAGGGCAGGTCCAAGAAACAACAAAATAAATACCTCTAACTTCATGGCAAGTACAACAGTCTTTCCTTTCAAGAGGGACTGATAAAAACACTCAGCCCAGCTGTGTATGGTCAGGAACCAGAGCCAGGCAAGGCCGAAAGGTCAGATGATCTGAAAATCTTTTAGTGACCTATTCTATTGTAACTTGGAAAGGATCTCTGCTAAAAAACTTTCTGAGTTAATAAAAGTTTCCATAGTGTCTTTTTCCTTACTTGACAGCAAAAACCTATAAAACACAGATAGTCTTAGCATAGGGTCCTGAGCAGCAAGGGCCAGAAGGAAAGAAAAATTAAGAGAGAAAGCAAAACATACACAGAGATGACAGAAGAGGGATGGCATCTTTGGCGGTCAGTGCTGGTTTACTCTACTTGCCCTGCATTCCCACCTTAAGGAGATCAGATACTGCCCAATGAAGGTTTCACAGAATGGCAGCCCTAGACACCTCACAGAGTGGGTGGCCTTACTGTTTGTGACACAGCACATTAATCAACAAGTGAAATTACAGATAGCATCTCTATTATTATACATTGTAGTATGAGAAGTGAGATGAACTAAGGTCATTTTGGAGGAAGGAATAAAGGGGTTGTGTTCCCACTTGATGAAATGTACGATTACAACTTCTCTGCACACCAACCACATGGCCTTTCCAGAATGGCTCAGGTTTCCACATAGCAATTTCTGTCCCCACTGCCTAGAATCCTCTTCCGCTACTTCCCTTTGAGACCTCAATCTCAGGTCAAATTGTACTACTTTAGGGTACTATATTGGGCCCCAAGACTGAGTCCGGTTCTCATCAAGCATTGGCACAGAACTGTCCATCTCCCCTTCACAGCCCTCATCACAGCTGTCATGCTACTTGTATAGTAATTTAATTTGTGTCTCTTCTCTGAATACACTGTAAACCTTACAGTCACACAAAGTCACTCAACATTATTTACACAACCTGCTGGAACATGTTAGAGTATTCCATTTATCACCAATATTTCAATGGAGGAATCATCCAGGTACTTTCATATAATGTAACACAATTGCTGAATGCTCAGTTTTTAATCAGTATCAAGAATCTGGGGAAAACATGGGATTATTGCCACCAGTTAGGTCATAAAGCGACTTGTACGGACAGGGGCATTCTGCTGCACATAGAGATGAAGAACCCAGGCTGACTTAACATATCTAAAATATGAAAAAAATCGATCAGTTTTTCTTTTTTCTCTATTATAAGAATCCTTCCTAAACTAGACTCAAAGTGTCCTATAAGAATAAACAAAGAATAGAAGGAATGGGGCTGCCCACTAAGGGTAAGGACAGACATGGCTATGGACTGGGACGCTAAGTCCCCCAACAAGTAAAAAAATGCCATTTTGTTTTTTCCCTCCATGCATAGAAACAACAGAAATTAAGGAACTATTATTTTACTTAAGAGAGAAAAAAAGAAAGACTGTATTTGTTATGCCTGAGGAGGTAAAGAAAAAAGTAACATCCTCAAAGTCCATCAGGAGAAAAAATGAGAGAAGAACAGATACAGAGTGAGGGAAGGAGATGAACTGAATCCCACCTGGTCTCTACTGGCCCATTTTCCCTCCTCTCACCCCTCTCCCTGCAAAATCAAATGCAAAGATTTAATTTCATGACAGTAAAATAAAAATGGTATTTGTGGGGGAGGCTATGAAAGTGAAGGGGCAGAGATTATACGGCAAATGTAGTTTCCTCTCAATTTTGTTGTAAACCTAAAACTGTTCTAAAAAATAGCCATAAAAAACAGGTCATCAGATTAAGTGCAAGTTGGGTAAGAGACATTTAGAGTAGGCAGTTCCATACTTGCACAGTTGATACTGTTGAAAGATGAACTAAAACATATTTTAAACATTTAAAACGTTTAGTTGAGCAGAAACTGATTTGAAACTGGCACCATCCAATGAATGGCAAGTGGCTAGGAGCACTCCACCAACAGGAGTCAGGGGAAGACATACAGAGGAGGTGTGGGAACAAAGAAAGAAAATTATTACACTGGCTATAGCTTAAAGCCTAGCTGGCCATTTGTGACCGGTTGTCCATAGGTTTTGATTTCATAACTATGAGGCATTTACAGGCTTAGATTCTGGTTTGCTTATGTAGGCTGCCGTATCAGTCTACTGGCCTGCTTGTTTCATTCATTTAACACTGGGCACCTAATATGTGCCAAGCACAGTGTTTCAACTGAATTTCATTCATGATTTGAGATATCTGAATATCCAAAGAACTTCATCATTTGTAAATTAACTTGAGCTCAGTAACTTAAGTTACACAGAAGAACATAGGCTTGAATAATCTAATACATTCTGTAGAGTTCTACTCAATATCTGGTAGTGATCAGCCAATTTAAACATGATAATTATTTCACGTGTTCTTATACTCATCTGCTACTTAGTGGTTCTTGGTCCTGACATAGTACTTTAGTTTTATTTCTAACATTAGGCACAAACATTCAAAAATCATTTTCTAAAATTTATTCAGTCCAATGCAGGGATCACTGGCTTTGTTTTAGATAGTTGTTCTGCCTACCATGTCATTCAAAATATGTTGCTATTCTCTTTTGTAGATGGTTTTAAAGTGGCCATTCCCTTCTAAATTACTGAAGCCCTTATTCTTGAGAGTACTTCACACCTGCAAAGGAAAATCTCAACAACTCAACTGTTGGAGCAGATGGCCATGAAGGGTCCAGGTTCTAAGATTCAGGGGTTTCATGACCAGAGTCTAACCCACAGAGTTCCATGTCACATCTCCAAGGGATAAACACCACAGACAGACCTAATAACACCTGATAAGAAACAAAGGAAGCCCAACCCCATTAATAGCCCTGCTGTCTCATGCTAAAAAGTATCCACTTCTTTCTCTTACTTTCCCCACAAATACAACTAGCACACATACAACTATGAAGGCACCAGAAGAAACAAGTATAAATGGCAAAGTTTAAAGAATCTATAGAGAAAAAGTTGGCTGCTCCAGAGGAAGAAAACCTCAGGTACCCAGGGCTGGGTTCTGCACATCCAGTGCCGATAGCACACCTGGAGTTATGCAATGGGCAGCTTCACAGGTGCATGCATGCACTCTGAAAACGAACATCATCCTAGATCTCATTCACAGACCACAAGGTCAAAGCTGGATGCAATTTTTAATTTAAAAATTAGTCCAGTGGAAAAATACACTGGTGACACAAACACGCTGATGTTTTTTCTCTCCAAAAGATAAACAAAACAGGTATGAGCCTTCTGTTTTCTTAGCACTCAAATGTGATCCCCCTCAGAGTAGAAACATAAATAATAGGAAACAACACAAGAAAATAAAGTAAGGAGGAGATACTACAAAGATTCTGAAGTAAACACTCATTAATCAACGACTGAAAAATAATTCTACAACATAAAGGTTAGCACACAGTATAATCAAAAACCCTGTAAACTGCACTATGCAGATATATTTTCTGTAGTCTGAAATAAGGAAACTAAAGCTTAGAGGTTCAGTTGATTTGCTCTAAGTCAAAGATAAAGACAGTACTAGCACCTAGGTCTTCTACTTTCTAACCTTCTGGTTTCTCATTACAGCCTGGAAAAGACTAGGAAAAGCCTGCCAGAGCCACAGGTCTTACAATACTAACAACAATAAACACTACCACAACACTCTTTACTTGTGACTTAAATTGTATACATTCTAATTTTAACAAATACAAAGTCTTTCCTCAAGCCTTCTACCAATGTTTATCATGTGTAATAGGATAATCTGACATCATTACTTCAGCTACTAAATTGGCCACCAGTTGTGGTTTTTTGATCTATAGGGTCCTTTAAGGGAATCTATCTTGTAAGGTTCAGACACCAACCACCACCAACAATGGGACTAGAGATTAGCACTTGAGTACCTCTCTCTGTCACCTCACTTACCTTGATGGGTATTTCAGTGAGTATGCAGCAGCCAAAAACCCACCTAGGTTGTGGCCAAGGAAGATCATTTTGTCCAATCCTAGGGCATATCTCCACTCTTCAATGGATTCCACAAACTGATTCTCCACTTCCTCTGCATCACTGTCAAATCTCGGTCTACTACTTCGCCCAAAGCCCAACAGGTCAAAAGCATAGACAGGTCTATTGGTGCAAAGATCTCCAAAATTCAGTGCCCAAAGTCCAAGACCTCCTCCAAAGCCATGGAGGAGAACAAGAGGAGTCTTATTTGCAATATTATGAGAGAACTTCAGTGTCCATATTTTATTTCCATTAGATATACGAACAGGTTCTTTTTTGTATGTGCAGGGGACACCTAATGAAAACATAAAAGAGAAAATCCACTTGGCTTCACTGCTTCCGAAAAGGGGAATATTCTCAGAGCAATTAGAAATTAATAATCCAAAAACCATCTGATATCCATTCATATGATTTTAGCCTTTATTATGTCATCCCTAAAAAAAGTATATATTTTATTGAAGCAATTAATTCTTAATTACCATCTTTTACATCTAAGAGGAAGATCTATCCCAGACAAGCCTTAAGTATCTGTGACCATGGTTTTGTGGCAAGTCCTGTTAGCTCTTTGGACTTCTTTCTATATCTATTAAATGAGGGCTTACACTCCTAGAGCTGCAGAGGAGCTTATTCACGGAGTTCATTGGAGGTCTTCAACTTTGCAGACAATAATAAAAGAATACCTTGAATTTGTCTAATACTTGAAGATTAAGCATTGAAGATTGAAGACTCAAAAGAAACATTTTCCCTTAAAAGTAATTATGAATTTAGGGAAGGAGTTACAGTATATATTAAACATATAACTGAAATTTCAAATCAGTTAGAAAAAAGGTGACAGGTTATAGGAGGAACTCCTCAGCAAGAGGCATCAGATAATGTGAATTAAAGTCCAATAATCTCCCTAAAAAATGCAAATAATCACAATTTTGTAGATAAAAACTCTTACTTGCCCTCAGTTATGTGGGACTAAGTACTTTAAATCACCCCAAAAATTGACTAACGATGAAGCTGATTTGAAATCCACTTACATTAAATTATCAACTGAATGGTTACATTTTAGATATACTCCTTAATTATTTGCACATATTCATTTGCAGTGGGCAAACACCAGAGTACCAGAGGTTTCTGCCCTTTAACTGAATAAGTATCTCAGATTTTGTACTTACAGATAGTAACAGCAAAGAGCCTGTGCTTCCAGGTCCAGGGAAATGCCACCAGTTTAGGAAGGGAGATAACTCCACATTAGTGCCAAACCAAACCACATCAGCATTTTGATGTAAAGGTTCTTTTCTTTTTCTCCTCCTTTTTCTACTTTCTTTACTATGGTTTTATTACCTCTGGTGACAGCTATTAATCCTTAGGAACACTTCCATCTATAGCAGTCCCTCCAAAATAGACTGCAGAGATGGTTTGTGGGAGGTAAATTCTCTCAGCTTTTGCTTATCTGGAAATGTTTAATCCCTCCTTCAAATTTAAATGATAATCTTGCCGGATAAAGTAATCTTGGTTCCAGGCCCTTCTGCTTCATGGCATTAAATACATCATGCCACTCCCTTCTGGCATGTAAGGTTTCTGCTGAGAAGTCTGATGTTAGCCTGATGGGCTTTCCTTTGTATGTGATCTTATTTCTCTCTCTGGCTGCTTTTAATAGTCTGTCTTTATCCTTGATCTTTGCCATTTTAGTTACTATATGTCTTGGTGTTGTCCTCCTTGGGTCCCTTGTGTTGGGAGATCTGTGCACCTCCATGGTCTGAGACTATCTCCTTCTTGAGACTGGGGAATTTTTCAGCAATTGCCTCCTCAAAGACACTTGCTATCCCTTTCTCTCTCTCTTCTTCTTCTGGCATCCCTATAATGCAAATATTGTTCCGTTTGGATTGGTCACACAGTTCTCTCAGTATTCTTTCATTCTTAGAGATCCTTTTTTCTCTCTGTGCCTCAGCTTCTTTGTATTCCTCTTCTCTGGTTTCTATTTCATTTATCGTCTCCTCCACCACATCCAACCTGCTTTTAATACCCTCCACTGTGCTCTTCAACAATTGGATCTCTGACCGGAATTCATTCCTGAGTTCTTGCATATCTTTCCGTACCTCCATTAGCATGTTAATGATTTTTATTTTGAACTCCCTTTCAGGAAGAGTGACAAGGTCCGTGTCATTTAAATCTTTCTTAGGAGTTGTATTAATAATTTTACTCTGGACCAGGTTTCTTTGGCATTTCATATTTGTATACGGCACCCTCTAGTGTCCAGAAACTCTACTCTCTGGAGCTGCTCAGCCCCTGAAGCAATGTCAGAGGTCGCAGGGGAGCGGTATTGGTGCCTGGGGGAAGGAAAGAGTCCTGCTTCCCGCTGCTATGCCTGCCTCCACTGCCTGAACCAGTGGGCCAAGCAGACAAGTATAAGCTTCTGTCCCAGAGCAGCCAGATATGGATCCCTGCTTTCCACAAGCAGCCAGAATCCCAGTCTCCCCAGGAACTCCACCTGTCCCAGCTTCCAAGCTCTGTAATCACGAGTATGATGAAAGCATGATGAAATGTAGATTTGTGCTCCTGGAACAGATCTCTGGAGCTAGGTATTCAGCAGTCCCAGGCTTCCACTCCCTCCCTGCTCAGTTTCTCTTCCTCCCGCCGGTGAGCTGGGGTGGGGGAGGGGCTTGGGTCCCGCAGGGCCACCACTTTGGTATGTTACCCTGTTCCGTGAGGTCTGCTCTTATCTCCAGGTGTATGCAGTCTGACGCAGTCCTCTTTCCTGTTGCTCTCTCAGAGTTAGTTGTATTAATTATATTTTCGTATTATATGACTTTTTAGGAAGAAGCCTGTGTCTCACCTCTCAGTGCCACCATCTTTAATCCCCACATCAGCATTTTGAATACATGTTTGCGTATTCCCATAAAAACTATCTGTAACCTCTATTAGAGGTCACCCTACTGAATCAGTCACTTGCTTTCATATCTGATATTGGACCAGAGGCCAATTCTCACTCCTATTTGAATCTCTAGAACCTAGAAGTAAGGATTCATTATGTTTGTTAAATTCATAAATTGAGTATCTAGCACCCATTTTTATCTCCTAACAAATTTTTTTTTAATTTTAGCAAATTACAGTAACTTTCCCAGAATTTTAGAGAAGAAAATGACCCAAGTATAGAGTGAGTAGAAATTTATTTTTCTGCTAAAAATCCACTTTAGATAGCTAACTGTCCCTTTCTATGGATATATCCAGTTATGGTCACTTACTCCTGAATCACTGAAATGCACAGGCAAGAAAATTCATTGGTGGTAAAGAGATTAAAAACAGGCATAGGCAGAACATGTTCACACATATGCACAGTAACCATGTATGGGAAGTGCATCCCATAATTCACTCCTCTAAATGTTATCAGCAGAACAAAATTGCATAATAAACACTATTGCTTAAAAGTGTACCCACAGACATCTGGGAATACCCTTACAGAACAAGTTTGGGTAAATTTCAGTGCTCATAGGAAACAGGAAAAGGTTTCCACACCACTATAAATACAGAACTAGGAATTCTCAAGATCAGCCCACCCCTTATTTTACAGGAAAGAAATGGGAAGCTAAGAAAAGTGCCTTGCCCAAGATCCTGTAACCACCTAATTGCAGATCTGGGCCTAGATCAGGCCACCCTGCTCTAGTACAATACTTATTCCACCATATAAGACTACCTATTCTGGAACACCTAGAGCCTGTTCTCAAAGTGTAGCCTGAGGACCCCTGGGGAGTCCCTGAGACATTTTTAGGAGATCTATGAGGCCAATACTATTTTCTTAATAACACTAAGTCTTTATTTGCCTTTTTAATCTGATTATTTGATGAGTATACAGCAGTTTTTTCTGGATATCACATATGTGACTAGCAACAGTCTGATACAGAATCAAGAGAATCCAACTGCCTTATATTAGGCCAGATATTAAAGAGATATGCAAATGTAAAAAAATGCTACTCTTCTCACTACATTTCTGTTTGAAAAGTAGTTATTTTTAGAAAGCATGTTATTTACTTTAACCTGTAATGGGTTTATTACTATTATTTTAAATAAATTAATGTATTTTAAAGTATGCAGTTTTAGTTTCTAATATGGTAAATATTGATAGCTATAACCTATAAACAAAGTTCCTTTGGGTCCTTAATAATTTAAGAGTACAACAGAGACCCAAGAAGTTTGAGAACCCTGTGTTCCCACATTTATGTACTTGCTGATGATGCGGAAAAGGAAAAAAATTCTTTGCTAACAATTAACACACCACAGAATCCTATCTCCAGTTTCAGAGCAATGCAATATATTGGACCTACTTTAGCGAATAGTTCAGTTAACTTATAAGAAGAATATCTTACATTTTAATATTTTCTCTTCAGCTTCTTTAAGGTGTGATGTAGATGTAGGACACCATGTGGGAAGCCAACTAGTTAGCCATCCTGACCTAGAACATCAAAACAAAATACAAATATGTGAGTTAGCACTCTTCTCAACTACTGTTATACACAGAGAAGAAAAGCAGAATAGGAAACTTAATGTCTCTGTGACGGTGGAGCTATCTATGTATGACAAAATTCACCTAAGAATACAAAGCATTGTGGTAAGGTACTGGGATACAGATATTCAACTTCAGCCTGTGAGTTTACAAGCAGATATCAAAATCTATCCTATCTTCATGGGTAGTCAGATTCCAAATAATCAAGCAGAGATTAAAAATGTGCAGAACAAGAAAAGACAAAAAAGGCGTTCCCTCAACCCCATAGCAAGACAGCCTCTTAGGAAGGTGGACATGAAATAAGTTGAAGACCCATGAGTAGGTTCAGCTGAATGATAGGTTCACAACAAGTACAAAGTGCACCTGCTATGAGGGTCGAAAAAAATATTTTTAAAATATGAGATTGTTATTTGAAAAAGACTTCAACTCTCATGGTTAAGAGTCGTAACACACCCCTAATACAAAAGCAGGGGGCTGGTCTGCGTACAATCTGCCTAGGGTGAACTGGTTAACCGTTAATGGAAAAGCTTCAGGTTCCAACAAACTAGACAAAAGAATGACCCAGGCATCTGGCAGAAGACAGTGGAACAAAGAGAACAAGGAAGCAGGCCTGCACTAACAGGTAAGGAAAGGCAAGAGGTGGCTGGCACTGACATCCTTGCTATTAGCTGATCAAGGAAAGAGTGAGCCTTCACCTTCTGGCCTGGCAGCAGCAGACCCTTATTGTAACAATCTGAGGTAAGGCAGAGCTTCGGCAGTCATCGGACAGTGAGCAAGGGCTCAGCACATGACCAGTACTATCTAAAATGAGGACTTTCTGATGAATGAGAAAATGGATTCAGAGACTTAAGTTCAATACCTAGCAACTCCAAAGCCCTTTTTTCTCAGGTGACTACTTTCCTTAAAATGTATGAGTTGTTATTACCTGCAGGATAAAGTTACAGAAGAAGAGAAGATATATAATGGCCTGCATTATAATGAGGTTCTACTCTTATGTACTCTTCTGCCAGTTTCAAGCCTTCTACTTTAACAAGATAGGATGATAAGACTTCTAGGCATCCCAAATGTTACATTTAACTTGTTATCAAGGTGTAACATAACAGAAAACATTATTAATATGAATCTATTTGTGAATATATAAACCTATTTACAAATTATTAAAGAAAAACAATTCAGAGATTCTGCAATTAATTTTTCAATTCATTCAGCAATTTTTCAGTTGCTAATTAAAAGAATCTTATGATCTCTAGAGGTTAAAATTTAAAAAGTAAAACATTATTAAGCTGATGCTCTTTTGTCCTTGACCAGGAATGGTCATCAAAGTCTATTTCTGGCAATAAAAATGGGAGCTAGTACCAATAGGAAGTTCCTTATAACTCAATCATCAATTTCTTAAAATCCCTCAAATCATAGCAGTTCTTTGCCAGAGAGAATCAGAGGTCAGTACAAAATAAAAAATAAAATTAAAGTGAAATGAACTATAATCTACTCTTACTCCAACTGACATCATAGACATGTTGAAGGAAGGAAAACACAAATGCAATCTTTGTGTTCCAGTCTCTAAAGAATTACATTCTCTGAATACCTACTATGTACAAAGCACTAGAATTTTTTTTTATTAAGGTATGATTGATATACACTCTTATGAAGGTTTCACATGAAAAAACCATGTGGTTACTACATTTACCCATATTATCAAGTCCCCACCCATGCCCCAATGCAGTCACTGTCCATCAGTGCAGCAAGATGCCAGATTCACTATGTGCCTTCTCTGTGCTACATTGTTCTCTCCGTGACCCCCCACACCATGCAAAGCACTAGAATTTAAAATGTTATACACCAGCCTGTAATATAAAAATTATGCCTACTTCTCATCACAAAACCAACTTGCAAAGGACAAGATGTCTTGTCCATGCAGTTTGCCTCCTAATGGACTTAACTCCAAGAGGAGGCAAAATAATGTTTTTATATTTCCAAGTCTAGTGCATTACATTACAAATTAGGGCTCTTCAACCCCAAGAGTTGCTAACAACTTCAGGTTTTCACAGCAACCTTTACATCAAAGCAAATGATTTCTTTTAAGTGGAGTTTTTCTAAAATATATTTAACTGGAAAATCTGTATTTAAAATAGTAAAAGATTTTTTCATTTTTAATGCAACTGTGAAGAACAGCTCTTTTTCCCTAACCCTAATAATGTTTTTGTCCAATCAGTTTTGCTTTAGACAGATGATAAACTATTCTTTAGAAACTTTTCTACTTCTTTCTTAGAGATATGCTACAGGATTGAGTGCTACGCACATAATAGGCTCAAAGGAACAATCCTAAAGAGTCAAAAGCAGGAAACTGGACAGCTACATGTAAGAGAATGAAACTGGATTATTGTCTAACTCATACACAAAAGTAAACGCAAAATGGATCAAAGACCTGAATGTAAATCATGAAACCATAAAACTCTTGGAAAAAAACATAGGCAAAAATCTCGTGGACATAAACATGAGCAACTTCTTCATGAACATATCTCCCCGTTCAAGGGAAACAAAAGCAAAAATGGACAAGTGGGACTATATCAAACTAAAAAGCTTCTGTACAGCAAAGGACACCATCAGTAGAACAAAAAGACATCCTACAGTATGGGAGAATATATTTATAAATGACATATCTGATAAGAGGTTGACATCCAAAATATGTAAAGAGCTCACGCACCTCAACAAAAAACAAATAAACCGATTAAAAAATGGGCAGAGGAGCTGAACAGACACTTCTCAAAGAAGAAATTCAGATGACCAGCAGGCACATGAAAAGATGCTCCACATCCCTAAGCATGAGAGAAATGCAAATTAAAACCACAATAAGATATCACCTCACACTAGTTGGGATGGCCAACATCCAAAAGACAAACAACAACAAATGTTGGCAAGCATGTGGAGAAAGGGGAACCTCCTACACTCCTGGTGGGAATGTAAATTAGTTCCACCATTGTGGAAAGCAGTATGGAGGTTCCTCAAAAAACAAAATATAGAAATACCATTTGACTCAGGAATTCCACTCCTAGGAATTAACCCTAAGAATGCAGGAGCCCAGTTTGAAAAAGACATATGCACCCCTATGTTTATCACAGCACTATTTACAGTAGCCAAGAAATGGAAGCAACCTAAGTGTCCATCAGTGGATGAATGGATAAAGAAGATGTGGTACATATACACAATGGAATATTATTCAGCCATAAGAAGAAAACAAATCCTACCATTTGCAGCAACATGGATGGAGCTAGAGGGTATTATGCTCAGTGAAACAAGCCAGGCGGAAAAAGACAAGCATCAAATGATTTCACTCATCTGTGAAGTATAACAAAGAAAAAAACTGAAGGAACAAAACAGCAGCAGACGCACAGAAGCCATGAATGGACTAACAGTTACCAAAGGGAAAAGGGACTGGGGAGGATGCGTGGAAAGGAAGGGATAAGGGGGGGAAAGGGGCATTACGATTAGCACACATAATGTGGGGGAGGGGGGACATGGGGAAGGCAGTATAACACGGAGAAGACAAGTAGTGATTCTACAGCACCTTACTACGCTGATGGACAGTGACTGTAATGGGGTATGTGGTGGGGACTTGATAATAGGGGGAGTCTAGTAACCATAATATTGCTCATGTAATTCTACATTAGTGATACCAAAAAAAAAGAAGAGTCAAAAGCAGGGGTCTATCTTCTCCATCCTTTAGTTAATCACCCTTTGTTCACAAATTACCATGTCTTACCCTTCCCCATCTAATGCTTCAATGCTCTAAAACATTCATCCAACCTCACCTCCTATCGGTAGGGTAAATTAACCTCTTTTTCAAAGAGATCTTCTACATTTTCCACAAAATCTCCTATGTCAAGAGTGTTGCTGTGCGTTTCTAAGCTTAGTATGTGGAAGACTGGAACTGGAACTAAGGACATGAGATGGGAACTAAGGACACAAGACTGAAGCTTGTCAGATATCTAGCCATTCTTCCAAGTTCACAAAATCTAAAGTAAAAATTAAATTCATGTGGCCCTGATATAAAACAGTAAAAAAGATGCACAGCTGTCTCCTCAAAGTTTTGGAAAATAAATAGAAAAGCAAAATTTAAGTTGTTTTAAGCAGATAATCAATAAACATCATCCAGTGAGTAACTTCAGAAGTGACCCAAGTATCAACAGCAATAATAAAGAGAAGCCATTCACCACAGGGACTATACCTATGTGCCACACAGAAGGCTTACCAATATGCACCTAAAGGTTTTCTAAACCACCCCATCAGCTGAGCACTGACATTATTAGCAAGGCTGATAATCCAAATTCTAAAGCATCTAACAACAACAAAAGGAATTCTGCTTTATAATTTCTGTAATTAATAGAAAGAATCTTTTCAGTGAGCAGACTTCTGAGTAAGAAAGCTTTAAAAGACTACACTAGAGGTGGCAATTCTAAGAAAGCCAAATAAGACATGCTTAACATATTAATAGAGCTTACTAACTTAATAACCTGATTTTAAATATCCTGAGTTTGAGAGAGAAAACACTGAAATTTTTCCCTTACCTTTCCACCTAGTTTTTTGAAAATATCATTAACATTGTATGCCATCATGCCTTATGCCATCAACATTTAAGTTTCCTGTAATCTCTGTTTTGTTCTCTAAGACATTTGACTATATATAGTATTGCTAAACCTGAATTGCACAATCTATAATATTGTGAAACAGTGAAAGAGGTTTCAAAGTACTCTGAAGGAAATATACAGACGTTTGGACAATTTCCACATACTCTTGGCCACTTGAATAATATTTCTAATTAGGTTATAAGTAAAGAGGATTTCATTATTCTACAATTTTGTTTAAAATGGCCTCCATCCCTATACTGCTACTGTTAAGAAAGAAAAGTTATTACTGCTCTCAATAAGCTACTTTAAGCACAATACTCTGTC